AGCATCCAGCTGCAGGGATAAACAACCATTCAGCTGCCAAACAAGTTTTAAAAATCCATCATTTAGACAGTGTGTCTGAATCCAGAGCCATTTTCTTCTGTACTGGACGTATTTTCTAATTTGTCAAGCATCTCAGACTGTGCCACTTGTGATAAGTGTAAAAATAAATAAATAAGAGGGAGAGAAGAGAGGACTTTTTCTCCTAAGAACAGTAATGTACTGTTCTGCAAGATTTCAAGGTTTTTATGTACTGAAAGAGACAGCTGGCTGCAGGGGGAGAAGAAAAAAAAGCTTCCGTGTATAAATGGACAGAAATAAAGGAACAGGAAAATTCTCCATTCTGCAAATTCCAAAGGTTTGAGCTTGCAATCACAAAGAAAGCAAACGTTAAATAAATAGGTAGCCGTATGTGTCATCAACACATATTCTGTCCACCGTTTGTATTTAAATCCATGACTGCGACTGAAATAAATTCCAGTTTGTACAAAGCAGACCAGTGCAGCAAGTATTGACTGCCTATTATTGTATGAAAGCAGGCGCAATGCTGCCGTTTCCACATGTAAGAAAGTGCCTGCTGAATGGTAGCCATAGAGACCAACAATTTTTACAAGAATCGCTGCACTTCATCTCATCTTGAAGTAATTGCCAGCTGCCAATAAAAAAAGAAGGGCGAAAAAGGATGGGGAGTTTGAATGTTGTCTTTTGTCATGTCCAACTCAAATTAAACTTTGTTTTTAAGTTGCATAAACAGAATTTTGGATGTATATATGAAAATCTGTCCTTAAATAATCATTCAATGTTTGCCCATATATGGATATACAAGAAAAAAAAAGAGTGAGATAAAGACATAAAATATATTTTCATGCGTTATTTAGTTGTTGTTGTTGTTTTTTTACAGAATTAGTAGTCTTTAGTAGACACGTGGCAGTATAAGACTCTTATACTTGAGCAAACAAAGGCCAGCACAATAAGAATGCCACTTTAAGTAGGAATTCCACAAAGTTGGAGATGTCCCAGAAGATCAGAATATCCAATATGGCTGTTGGGCATGTAGACCATAATGGATGTTAGATATAAGCAGCACTTCTTGGTGGTTTGCACCTCATTAGACCCACAGGATACAGAGTTCTGTACAACCGCTATTTGTAAACAAGTTTAGTGTTTGAATGTCTAACCATGCATCACAATAAAACAGAATATCATGGAAAAGTTTTCATTTTTAGTAATTCAGATCAGAAATTAAAACTGATCACACATTGTGTGATATGTTTCAATGGTTTAATTCTACTGACTTACAGAATTATACAGCTAAAGAAACCTAAAATTAATTCAACAATTTTTTAAAATTTTGAATAAGACACTGAGGTGTTCAGAAAGTAGTAAGTTTCTTTAACTGCAACCTTCAGCTCGTTTGCATTGTTGACTCTGGTGGCTCTAATCTTCCTCTTTAAAATAAGGGGTTTATATAAAGCTATAGGGCTCCGGCCAAGCAGAGTACTACCCTGATCATTAATACAGGTTTTGGTGCTTTGGCGTGTATAAGCAGGTTTAAAATCCTGAAAGAATATGAAATCAGCATCTCAAAAAAGCTTGTGATCATGAAGTGTTAAAAAAGACTCAGGCAGCTTAAAAAAAAGAGGATCAGAAACAACATACTAAGCCCAAATGGTTGTTCATAAGCTTTCAAAAAACATGTCAAGTCCACACATTTACCTTCCACTCAACTTTCAAAAAAAATTGTTGAATACAGCTATCTGAACTCAGCAATGACCTTTTATGGCTTACCATGACCATCTACTGTATTCTTCTCAGGTCAGAAGTTTTTCTGATTGTACTGGCTACAACAAAACCCTTTTGTAATCAAAATATAAATAAATAAAAATTCCATCAACCAACATAACAGTTCAATTGTGATTTCAGGTTTTTAATAAAGTACCTTTTTATGATATTTATGCTAAATTATTAAGAAAGACCAGTAAATTTAATAGGCATATCATTATTTCCTATTACATATTTGTACTTGGCGCCACAATGAGTAACTCCCACTGGTTTCTCTAATCTCAACTACAATGTGACATAATTCCTAGATCCTACTGGCAACTCCAGAGCCAAATCAACACAACATTAAAGCCCTTGTCACTGTATTACCATCTGAGTTTGAACGAAGCGTTTTAAAAGATGACCAGAGTACACTGAAAGCATCCTGAGACTCAGTAAAAAAGCAATTATGCAAATTTATATGTAAAGCTATGTCGTATAAACCATAGAGCTCAAGCCCAATCCTAACCTAATAAAGACTGAGTGAGAGCCCCAGCTTCTTTCCACAAATTGGAGTGCTCCTTTCTTGTCTAAAATGGTAAAAAATCAAATCAATGGAAAGATATTTACAGAGGAGGGGGAGAGGGACCATCTCTCCAACCCAAGAAGGAATAAAAAAATAAAAAAATCTTTTTTCAGAGGGCAACAAAATTAACCCGCATTACTGCAATGCACAATTCAGCAGAAATATATGAGTCAATGAACAAACAAAAGGCACTAATTAACTTTACTAAACCATGACTTGCAAGAAGAAAGCCTTTTTTATTTTTCAGGTTCAGAGTTCAGATAATTTTTTTCAGATAAAAACAGAGGCAGCTTTTATAATAAATTAAGACAACTACTGAAGAAACGGGGTAGAAGCACTGTGCTTGTTTTTACTCCAAAGGTCATGGTTTTAACTTGTAGCTTCAGCTAAAATGCCTCAACAGAAAAATTGTGAATTCTTTTTGGAAGCTTCATTTTTAGAGATGTCGCTGAGGTGTTGAGTTTTCCTCCTTCAGTGATAACCTCCACAACAAAGAGCGTTTCCATCAGTATGACCTTAGTTTTGCTTAAAAATCTCTATTTGATTTGTTGGTGCATCTCTAATATAGCACATGATGTGGAGATTTCTGATTAAGCTGAACTGATTTTCAAATTTAGATTGCATTTGAATTTTTTGCCTCCACCTCTGCATTTTTTTTCTTACTTGCTCTTGACAGTTTCTGTAATGTCAATCTAATGGGACAAAAGCTACAGAGTGCTTTAAAGGCCTAAACATTTCTGAGCAAACAGAGCACAGATTCTCTGCTGATGAGCCACGTTACCGGTATGGCCAATCAACGGATCTGAATCAATATATCATTTTGGGGCAAAATTATATAAGAATCTTGATTTGGATTCAGAAGAATAAATCAGCTGATGTTTTCACACAGAAAAATCTAAAAATATGGATGCATTTTTAAAATTGTAACTACATTTCCAGTAAATATAGAGGAAATGTATCAATATATTTGAAAAAGTGATTAAATGCAGTTATTGTAACATCTTTAACAATACTTTTGCAAATGTGTGTTTTTTGTTGTTTTAACTTTTGAGTATCACTTTTATCTTTTTCACAATGTCACAAACCACGGAAACATTTTCTTCTGCCCAGATCTTCCATCCTTATTGTAGCTCATTTATTTAAACTTTTTCAGCTTCTCCTACTGCTTATTTGCCACGAAACAAGCATCATCTTTCTTTTTTCCCCCTCTGAATGCCCAATACAGCGCACTGCTTAATTTGCAAACGAACCTTAACAGAAAAAAAAAAAGGCAAGGAAGCAATTATTTTATTTCCTCCCACCATTGTCCCATCAGGTATCACACCAGATGCTGGGTTCAGCCGCCGCTAGATTAAATACAACCCAGATTATATCCCTGAAGGAGCAGCACTTAAAGCTGAGTCAAAACGGATGAGACAAAACAAAGTGCAGGTTGGCTTAACAGTTTAGTCAGAAAGGTTCAAATGTCCCCTTGAGTTTTCCCCTAGAGGGTGGGGGACAAGTCAAGGTTTTTCACTGCTGGTAGAGAGGCAAGTTGCATGTGCATGTGTGTGTGCAGACTGCACGAATGTGTGATGTTCTTCAGGGAAATTCCAGCTATATGCAATATGTGACAGATGGTGCTGCAGTCCTGGATATTATAGTCAAAATTGCCAGATAAGGACGCAACAAAAAAAAACTGCATCCCTAATGTTCTGGAGACAGAAAATGAGGAGGAGGGGAAATCAGATTCAATTCCAAGTGATCATCTTCACCCTTCTTTCTTTTGACAGTGAAAGACATCCTTCTCTTCACTTTAAAGGTTCGGGCACAGTGGGGCCTCTCAAAGTTGAAGTTTCCCCTTCTCTCCAGCAGCATGTCTGTAAACATGGAGCCATTTGCAGCCATGTCTGTTTGTTAGTGCATTAAATAATGATGCGTGCTGTGCAGTATTCATACCTCTTTGGCCGCGCCAGATATTTTCTGCAAAAAAAAAAAAAAAGCCAGCAGATGTAAACAAGTCAACGGTGACGGCGAGTCGTGCATTTGGCGGAAAATGTGTCGATTGTGCATGGCGAGAGGCACTGCGACTTCAGTTTTTATACTGAAGTCACACTCGTACCCTTTAATAAAAAATTCAGAAGCTGCTGCACTGCTCAGGCCTGCATTTTTTTCGAGCACCTTTTTTTTTTTTTTTGCAAAGACACAAAGCCTTTCAGAGTCAGGTGCATCTCACACAACTGAAGGCAAGAAGAGGGGGGGGAAAAACTTACTTTGTATTCATTCAGCTTTCAAACTTCTTAGACCATTTGTGTTAGTGTGAATAGGAGAAATTCTGATTGACTGAATATTAATCAAGCGCTCAAAGGCAGGTCGGATGAATTAGTCCGAGATGGAAACTGAAACGTCTCGAATAGTTATGACCAACAGCCAACCTGCGCGCTGCTCTCTGCTCTGATTGTGTCCACACACACACACACACACATACAAAAGAAAGACACAAAACGCACAGTCGTGCCAATTTGAAATAATTAACAGTCGAGTTCAACATTACAGAGCCCCTCTAACGCCGCTGCAGGCTTTTCATTCGCGGACATTATTATCGCCCTGAGCCGAATCTGCAGGATAACAGGAGATGCGCGCAGCAGCAAAAAATGCAGAGGAACGCCACACTTACCGCGCTGTTTGGAGATCACCGGTAAAACGTGAAGGGCGCACACGCGCTGATTCAAAGCGTGCGTTAATTTCTCGCCCGGGGGGTTAAAAAAAAAAAAGAATGAAGAGAAAGAAAGAAAGAAAGTGTCCTCATCAGGCGATGCGCAGCGTGCGTGAAGACTTTGATGGGGGGTTGAGGAGACAGCGCAGCGAATCCAGCCGCTGGGTTTAGTATCCTGTGAATCAGTCTGGTTGTGGCTCCACTATCCGAGGTGGGGAGAATAAAAGAAAAATAAAACAAAACGCACAAGCTCTCTTCCTTGGCGTTGCATCCACGGACACTGTCCCCACTTCTCTCTCTCTCTCTCTCTCTCTTTCTTATTTATTTATTTTTTTTACATCCCTGCGCACCGCCACAAATCGACCCTCCGGTGCTGGGTCTTCATCACGTCCCGGGAAACCTGGAAGAGCGGCACCTCACCGGTCATAATACAAGACAAAAACAAGAGAGACAAAAAAAAAAAAAAAAAAAAAAGAGTATCCAGAAGACTCTCGCGAGCACAAAAAAAAAGAGAGGCTTATTTTCTTTCAAGTCTGGTGATCAGGGTCCAGAAAAAAACTGCGCTCTCGGCTACTATGACAAACCAATTGTGCACAGTGGCTGGGAGTAAATCTGTACGGAAAGCAAAGGCGGTTTTGGAGCGCCAGTGAAAAGGTGAGGGGAAGAGCTCGGATGTGCACTGCCGCTCTCACCGTATACTCGGGCTCCACCTAGCAGCAAACCCGAGACAACATGCGGCTGCGAAGCCTCAACTAATATTGTGTATTTTGTGCCCGGGGCTGGCGAGCAGACCTGTGTTATATTACATTCTGTGTGAGTCTGTGACTGCAATATTTAAGAGAAAGTCCTCTTTTCCATTATGAAGGTTCAATTGTGCTTTTTTAAAAAAAAAAAAAAAAAAAAAGACTCAGAAATGTCCAGTTAAGTCAAGGAAATATAGGGAACTGGTCTCAGACATGTCTGAAGAAATACAGGGTTGTCCATGCAAAAACATTTACAGTGTCATAAATAAAGTTTCACATCCTGCTTAAACACATTTCCAGTAGGATTCAGGTGGAAAATTTTGACTTGGTCTCTTCAATGCATTAATGTGCTTGGAGTTTTATGCTTGTCCTGATGGAAGGTGAAACTTTACTCCAGTCTCAATCTTTTGCAACCTCCAAAAACAGGTTTCTCTTCAAAGATCGAACTTCATTGTAGGCATCCCAACAGCATGATGCTGCCACAGCCATGCATCACAGCGGGGTAGGTGTGCATTGCATGTTGAATGATGGTCTCATCTAACAAGAGGAACTTGCTTTACATGTTTTCTGTTTCTCCTACCTAGCAAATTGAAATAGCACACAGGACTTCTTTCAGCCGTGACTCTCTTCTTGCTACTCCTCCATAAAGACCCAGTTCTTGGGAAAATTGTCCTGGCAACAGTTTGGATGGAACACAGCTCAGTTAAGCCGCTTCTCTACTGGACTTGAGCAGCTTTAACTTGTTCTGCCCCAGAAGAACCAGTTCGTCTCCATTAGCAGATCCTGAACGGCTTTACGCGTCTCTTCCTAGTTTTTCGCGACGAGGCACACCAAGCAGAGTATTGTGATTTAACTGACAACAGACTGCGTTCCCTGACTGGCCCATAATTTACGGCACTGCAACTCAAAGCAACAACATTTCAGCCACTGAAGAGGACTGACGGACATGCCGCCTGCTATTTGAGAGCTTCGCGGTGTGGAGGAACATAATTATGGATTTAATCTTGAGCAGTACCAGGAGAATATCAACTTTTGGAGAAGAATGACTGATTTTGCAGCCTTGCAAGTGGCATGTCTCTGTGAAGTATGAACACACAATGAAGAAGAGAAGAACTGTGGCAGCTCTTGTCACATTCTGTTGGAGCTGCAGTTTTGCTCCAGCCTGTGTGAGACATAGTACTACATATTAGTTTGGAGTGATGTGCAATTTATTATTTGTCTGGAATTTTTTTTTACATAAAGTTCAAGCTTGGATATTGGTTTAGATCTTTGAAAGCTATCAGTTTTCTTTCAATTTACGATTGTGTTCAAATTTGTGTTGGTCTGTAAGTAGAAGTCTCAACAAGATACCTTCAAATTTGTGCTAAACATGACAAAATTAAAGCAATATGAATTGTTTTGCGACACAGATTAATCCATTTCTTCTGAGAGACATTTGGCATTAGCAAAAACAACATTTTACTTATAATCTTTTTGCACATTTGTCTAATCCTGCTACTGCGACTTCATCTGAAATTTGTTTGAACCTGGGAATGTTTTACAGTGAGTTGAAGTTGACCTCAGTGGACTTATGCCAGGACTCGGCCACATTCTACAAACTCATCTGATGACCACCAGCTGCACAGTATCTCCAGCATTTATCCCCTCAATCATCCCTGTGGCCTAATAATCACTTCAATAATCCTAATTACAATCAAACAATACATAATCACATCCAATTGCTCATCCTGTGTGCTCTACTAATGAGCCCAAAACACATAGACTGAACCCACGTTTATTTGCTCTTGTCCCATCCTAAAGGAAAAACACAAAACAGAAGCGTTTTCCATATGCCAGTAAAAAGTATTCACTTTCAGCAGCAGCTTTCTGTTCCTGGCATTGTCATAAATGCAGTTTCACACAATCAAAGAAAATTCCAGCTCATGAATCCAGACAACTAGCTTGCCCTCAGCAGAGTTGTGAAGTAGGGGGCCGCTTACAATTAAGCGTAGATCAGTGCAAATTCACAACAACCCTCATCTCGAGGCACTTTACTCAAAAAAAAGTCATTTTAATCCCAGTTATCAAATTTCATTAGTATGAGTTTATTATTCAAATTAATTTGTTTCCATCTAAAATAATTTATTTTAGATAATGCAATGTTTTGTCTCCCAACATTGTGAATTAGGGGACCAGACCAAATTTGCATTGTCCAGAAACAGTTTCTGGACAATTCAAACAAAATTCTAGGCAACGACCCCATTTCTCATGTGTCTTGGATCAACAAACCAATAATAATTTACACTGTCATATCATTGTTGGATCCAGCAGACATCCCAAGCACATGGAGATCCAATCCACAAAATCAGCATTCTGACATTATGTCAAGTCTTTCTATGTAAAGCTAACTTCATGTCAATGCACTTATTACAAAGCCCTGCTGTCATTGAGCAAGTAATATCCCTAACAAGTGGTGAAGCAAGATTGACCTACTGTTCTTGACATAGCTGTTCAGTTGATGTGACAAAGCAGTAGGCAGTAGTAAGTTCTCCCCAACTCAATGTGTAAAATGAGTATCCAGAAAAATGTAAAATTGGATTAGGAAAAGCAGTGCGAAATCATCTGAATTCATTTCAGGCCATTTTTTTTTCCTGTTTACATCCTTTACCTTCTTTCAATGTTGAAGCGCTTCTGTTCGTGTTGTAGCGCTTCCCTTTATGTTGTAGCGCTTTTGTTTCCCTTCATCATGTAGCGCTTTCGTTCATGTTGTAGCTCTTTTGAAGCGCTTTTGTAATTTGTAGTTCTTGCAATTTGAAAGCACAATTATAAAATGTGCTTTCAATTTGCAATTTGCAAAATTTGCAAATTGCAAAGACCGCACAATTTGCAAATTGTGCTTTCAATTGAAAGCACAATTACAAATTGTGCGGTCTCACCAGGTCAGCAAATGACCTTAACCAGTCAGATGTGTCGATTTTATACCTTGGGCTGCCTCTGTCTCTTACCATCAGAGATAAATGCAATACACAGATGCTATCGTCACAGTTTAACCCATAGAGCTACCATTGGAATTAACATACCTGCCCTCACTCATTGATCTTTGATTTGACTATCAATTATGGGGTAAAAGATGTATAATGTACCAGCTACCTTTCTGCGGACGAACAAAGTTGCCGTCTAGCGCACTTTCACTCAACTGAGCATGAGGTTGGCTGCAGGCTTTGATCCATTTCTTGGTTTTCATTAATCCAGACTCCATTGGGTTTTGGAGATGTAATCATTTGAAGTGAACTCGCTCCGCTGTACAACAGCTGTTGGGACCGCAAGTTCTCTACTGACAGCGTTCGGATCCTTCTTCTTCTTTTCTATCATGGCGGCTCGCACGCAACTTTCAGGTGCACACTGCCCCCTACTGTACATGAATCTTTAGCAAAACTACTTTGCATCAATTAAATCCTTTGTTGTATGGGCGTGTACTTTGGAACACATTGCAATCGCGGATTCTTCATTTGCTGACAAACCCACTAGAAAGACTGACAGGTGGCTTGATTGATGTTCGACTGTCAATTGAATATATTTGCTTGTCGATTTTAGTATTTGATAAAGAATATTATCACCGCCCAAATGCTAACCATAATAATGTTTGCATTACTGTTATTGTGGTATCAAGCAATACTGGAAAAACTTTACTGTCCCACCAGGTCAGCAAATGGCCTTAAGCAGCCAGATGTGTCCAGTTTATACTTTGGGCTGCCTCTGTCTGTTACCATCAAAGATAAATGCAATACACAGCTGCTTTCTTCACAGTTTGAACAGGCGCTTCAAATCAGCAGTCAGAACATACTTCAATGCTCCCTCATTAAGAGAGCACTGCATACAGACTACAGGAACAGAAGTCTGTTTCAGATTAGCTCCTTTTTAGCGTCTGAATAACAAAATCCTCATGATTAAAGTATAAACAGCTTTCCTTCTGTGCTTAAATGAAGCAGCATTTTAAACAACATGGAAATGAAGGAGAGTCTTAGCCCTTTGATATATAGGCGACATTATTGCAGAGAAACTAAATCATGCGAGTTAGAGGGAAAATTCCTGCACTATGAGAACATAACGTGTAAAAATGTGAAAGGTGGAAGAGTTTAAGAATTAATAACGCCCGTGTTTTATGTGACTTGAGATTAGAAGTATTAATAAATTATAGTTACAGAGAACATTTCAATTATGAAGACAAACTGATTTAGGCTTTGGTTTTCTACTAATTGAACACCCTGGCAACCCACCTTTTCTTTTGTTATTGCAACACCGATACGAGTCTGGTCGGCAAGTAGTCAAATTCATCCTCAAGAGCGTCAGATATTGGAGGCGGTCTCTGATGAGCACCTCCAAAGAGATATGAGAGAAATTAAGAGCTGTTCATCTTCATATCTCTTTGCACTGAGATGTTTGGGGGGGGTTATCTCAATGTTCTTCTTGCAATGTAGATGCAGTCCCTCATCATCACACTTCCTTCACCAAAAGCCTTTTGGAAGTGACATAAATTATTTTTGCAAGTTTTTTCCAAGGGCACACTCCAGATACTGAAGTCTCTTGCTCCATCCGTAAATGCATTCTACTAAAACATGGAACCATGTACAGGAAATAAACGACAATATATGCATTTTAAAAATCACATCAAACTAACGGTTTGATGTCTTAAATAGTGAAGTTATTACATTTGATTGTAAAGAGATAACTAATGGTTTGTTCATTTCTCAAAGAAATAATTCGCAAAGGAACATTCAAGCAACTTCGGCAGTATCCCTTCAAATGTACTAAAGATACACCTGCAGTCAGGTTAAAAATAGTAAATGTAACCAGCCAAAGTAAGGGAGGGTGAAAACATGTGCCTGTGGAATGATCAATTTGAGATAACTTATTTCTTTCTTCATATAA